GTGCAGTGTCACCTCCCCAGGAGGCCCTCCTGACTACTGAGACCCAGTGCACCCCTCTGCCTTGGCTTGGGGTGTCTCTGGTCCCCATGGCCCTCGCCTGCTACTCTGAATGTACACTTCCACCCGAGCCGCCCGGGGGACAGACGGAGTGCTCTCTGGGAGCACTGAGAACACCGCCTCAGTTCTCTCCAGCCCCGGCAGCCGGCCTGCCCCCCGTCGACGCTCTGGAAATATTTGCTGAACTGAGAGTAAACTTGATGAATATTTACACTGTACCACATGCCCACGGTTCCACCTGGCACCCAGAAACTCCCGCTCGGAGAAAAGTGAGACGAGCCTTCCCGAGAAGGGCTCGTGTTCGTGCCCATAAAACTCACGTTTATTGGGGTCGCCTCCCTAGCCCCAGTGTTGGACTCCAGGGGAGGGCAGGGCAGGAGAGAGACCACCCCGAGCTTTGTCCCATGGGAGCCTGGGCCAGCCCGGAGGAAAGAAGGACTAGCTGCAGGGAAACCCCTGCTGGAAACAGGGAGTCTGGGGGCCTGCAGGGGCCTCGCTGGCCCAGCTAACAACCGTTGACCATGAGCGTGACCAGGAAGGCCCTGCCATGACCACTGTGGGTTTAGTAGGGGCTTCCCAGTGGACGTGGACTTGTAAATTCTGTGGAGAAGCAGGGGGCCACGTCTCCTTCATGGGCGGCAGGTGAGAAGCCCCCCAGCCCGGATTCTGTGGACCTGGCCCGACATGCCTCTGCCACTGGGTGTGAGCAGCTGGGCCTCCATCCCTCCTCTCACGGCTTCTCTGCCACCCAGTGTCACAGATCAGAGAGCTCCTGCCCTTGCCGGCCAGGGCTCCCACACTCCGTGCAGAGAGAGCAAGGCTGGGCACGCCAAGGCCATAGCTTGCCCCTCAACTCTCCCTCCACTGGACACGTGTGTGGTCTTGGGCTTCTCTGGCCCTCCCTCGGTTTCTTCGTGAGTTGACTGAGGACAGTTGCCTGGCCATGCCTTATGGGCAAATGAATGAATGTGGACAGAGGGCTTTGCAAAGGGACAGTTTCTTGTTTTAAGGCAAGGTTATTATCGCACAGGTGCCCAAGAGAAGGGCAGAAGGGACCACTTGGGTAGGGCCCCTCCCCCAGAAGAGCTGGGCAGCAGGGGCCTGTCCCCCGGCCAGAATGGGTAGGCAGGGTCTGTCAGCAGAGTCACTCCACGGAGGCCCCCCGGGGCTTGCTGCTGTCAGAGCTGCCCCATGCCCGCCCCCTGAGCCCAGCGTCATCTCAGGGGGCAAGGAGGGGTCACATGGCCTGGCTCTGCTGTGAGAGTCCAGCTGCCTGAGGTCCTGCTGATTCTCACCTGGTGGCAGCCAGAAGCCCGTCTCCTCCGCTCTGGGGACAGCCTGTGGGAGCCACGCACCCCTATACCTCATGTGGGGTGTGGAGCCACAAACAGAAAAGTGTACACATCCCATCTGGACAGCCCAGTGCCTTGTCACAAAGCGAGGTCCTCCACAAAACACCTTCCAGACCAAGAAACAGGACACGGACAGCGTCGCAGGGGCTGTGGAAAACACAGAACCGAAACCAAAACACAACTTGGGAGCGTTGCAGGAAGTGTCTGAAATGCCACATGTCTGAAATGCCAGCCCTGTGTTGCTGCAAAGTGTCCCCCCATCCAAGCTGAGATGCCAGCTCAGCCCACAGGGGCCCACGGCGTGTCCCCCAGAGCAGCTCGGAGCCCACAGAGCCCACATGTGTTCCAGAGCTGCCTTCCTCTCTTCCGAGTCGGGAGTCCCGCAGCTCACCCCATTCCGACCCCGCCCCTCTGCTCCCCAACCCGCCTGCTTCGGGGTGGCTATTTAAAAAGGCAGGGTAGACGGCTGGCTCAGAGTCAAGGGGTGGGTGGGCCACATGCCCCTGTCCAGTGTTGTCCTGCATCTTCTGAGGACCCCCTCAGCGCCCACCCAGAGGCCCACTCTTGCCCACCCCTAGCAGAGTTTTTCACGTTCAGGTGAAGATTCTAGACCAGTTCATGGCCTTGGTCTGGGGAGAGGACAGACCCAGAAGACTCCACAGGTGGTTCAGGGTCCTGAGCACAGCACCAGGTTCCGACTTAGGCCTGCTTCCCACCAGCCTCTTTTGCCCTGCCTGACCTCAGAAGACCACCCACTTCCACCAGGAGCCCGGGAAGCCGGCCGGCACCAGCTGGTCACTGTGTGTTCAGGAGTTTGCCAGCGGACTGTTATACGCAGCATTAAAATTTAAATGGCACAAACTTATAATTAAATAAACTATATTAAGGATAAATATAATGTTCAGAACTCACCAATTTCTAATTATTTTTATTATGTGTCACTATTGCCTACACCTGTGAGCTATCTTGCACCTACTGCCTATCTACAGTGGGAGGCCCCCCCCCCCCCCCCCCCCCCCCCCCGATCGTGGGGGACTGTCTGCCCTCTGTGCCTCTGGGCTCTGACACCCAGTCCAGGAGGGAAGGAGCACGGCATACCGGACCTTCCCACCGGCGGGCTGGGCAGCCTGGGCTCCTTCTCTGAGGGTTTGTGTTCGCGTAGCCCCAGAGCTCTTAGATACCTCCAAGCACTGGGGCAGAGGAGGAAGCCGCAGACTCCACCAGGCCTGAAGTGTCCCCTGCCCAGGATCCTGGGCGGGGGAAGTGGATTGAAAGAAGGCAGAGGGATGCGGCAGCAGAGCCCTCCACCTCCCAGTCACAGCGCCCCCCCCCCACCCCGGGGGCGCAGGGGTCCCCCATAGCGCCTTCTGGCGGACACAGCGCTTCAGAGGGCGAGGCAGAAGGGTCGGGCCCCTGACCGCCTCCCCTCGGAGCTCCACACCTCGCCGCCACGGCCGCAGACACTGCCCCAGGGGCCCTCCTCCAGCTCGGAGGCCCGCTACTCCTTCCCCTGCGGGGCAGCCCTCAGTGCCACGTGCCCGGGTCCCCTCTCGGTGGTGAAAGCCCGGGTCCTCGTCGTGGGCGCGGCTCAGGACGCCAGGCTGCGCCGAGGGATCCCGTTCCGGCTCTTCTCCCGCTCCCGCGCGCCCTGCCTCCCGGCCCCGGACAGTCTCGCCCCCGGGGCCCAGCGCGGAGAGGTCCTCCCGAGTCGCCTTCCAGCCTGGGGAGATCCGGGCGCAAACCCGCAGGGGCGCTGGTGGCCAGTCCCCTCCCGCGGCCCGGGGCACCGAGGCGCATAAGGCGCACAGCCCCCGGGGCCGCGGGGCTCGGAGCCCAGGACTGCCGCGTGCGGCCCGCGGGGTCCCTCTGGCGCCGGCAAGCGGAGGCCGAAGGACACGCGGGCTCCGGGAAGGTTCAGGACCGAAGCGCCCACAGAACGTGGGCGGTGGGGCACCCGGGGGCACGGGTGGGACGCGACCACCGAGTGGCACAGAGGAGACCGGGGTTTCTCCAAAAGGACTCAATGAAGCCGGCTGCGCTTCGCACCCGCGGGGCGGCGGCCCAGCCCCCGCACCCTGCAGCTGCCTGAGGGTCCCTGGGGCTGGGGACCCCTGCCAGCGCAGGGCCCGACTTGGGGGGAGGGTCTGGGCCGTCAGCGGGGCTGCGGGACCGCGGCTCTAGGCCGGGCTCGCACCGTCACCCGGAGCCCGACCTCGGGATCCTGGCGCCATCTCCTCCTGCACGCACTGGGAGCTCGGAACTCTGATGGCCCGGGGCGCGCCAGCGGCTTGGGCCTGTCCAGAGCCCCGAACCGGGCGTCCCAACCCGGACGGGAATCTGGGAGCCTCGCCTGGCGCCGCTGCTACTCAGAAAACAGGTGCGGGGAGGGGGGCGGGAGCGGCCGGGGGTGACTCCGGGTGGAAGGTCCACCGTGGGGGGGGACTCCACACGGGCGACGATCCGGCCGTGGGCCGGGACCCGTCCCCAACTGCCCTGGGCGGAGCAGTGGGCCGAGCTGGGGCTCGCGGGGCCCAGAGAGCACGACGCGCACACGGACACGGACGTGCACGCGCGCCTCCGCGACAGGAAGGCGCTCCGGGAGCGCGGAAGGGTCGGGCCGCCCGGCCCCCAGGAAGCGCGGCCGCTCAGCGCCTCCCCAGGGGCCGCAGGGAACCGCCTGCCCGGAATCCGCCGGCTCCGCAGGCGGAAAGGCTCGATCCGAGAAGTGCCCGCGCGCCCCGCGGGTTCCGGGAGGGGGGCGGTGCTGCCATTCCCCCGGGGACGTAGCCGGGTCCCCAAAGCCCCGGGCCTGTGGGAGGGGGCAGGAGAGCCCCGAACGAGGTCGTGGAGAAGTCCCCCGATCCCAGGTATAGACCGGCTTTCCAACCCCACATGCGCATCCAAGAACCGTGCGGCAGCGCCGCGACCCCCTCTCTGGACTCGGCGGCGGCGCAAGGCTCCGCTCCCCAGCGCTCCTCACCCGACGCGCGAGTGTAGACGCTTTGAGCCCTTGAGGACCCGGTCCCGCCTTGAACGCCCCCGGCCCGGCCCCCGAGAGTGTTCTGTGGGGCCAAGCGGGTTGAACCGAATTCTGTCTCGCGGGCCAGCCGCGGCCTCCCGCCCGCCCACAACCCCGTCGGAGACTTGGGGACATCATGCAGGTGGCCCATCCTGTAGTCCCAGTCCTCCCCCCGCCCCGACCCCGCTCGGGGCTCTCGGAGCCTTCGGGGAAGCGGCGCGGGCTCGGCGGGGCGGGGGGGGTGCGTGGGTGGGGGAGACCGCAGGAGGCGACACCCCCCCTCCCAGCGCGCGCGAACGACCCCAGCCCGGCGCCGCGGGCCGGGCCGCAGACAATTAAAGCGGGATTCCTCCCCCGCTGACGTCGGCAGCGCCGAGGCCCCTCCCGCGGCGGCATAAAAGGCGCGGGCTCCGCAGCGCGGGCGGCAGTGAGGGCCGGGCAGCGCGGCGGTGCGGACTGCGCGGCCGAGCAGCGCGGCGCCCAGAGCGCGGGCCGCCCGCCGAGCCCCGCCGAGCCCCGCCGAGCCGAGCCCCAGGAGCCGAGCCGGAGCGCCGGCCCCAGCGCCCGCAGCCATGCCGGCCGGCCGCGCCGCGCGCACCTGTGCGCTGCTCGCCCTTTGCCTGCTGGGCAGCGCGGCCCAGGATTTCGGGCCGACGCGCTTCATCTGCACCTCGGTGCCCGTGGACGCCGACATGTGCGCCGCGTCCGTGGCCGCCGGCGGCGCCGAGGAGCTCCGGAGTAATGTGCTGCAGCTCCGCGAGACCGTGCTGCAGCAGAAGGAGACCATCCTGAGCCAGAAGGAGACCATTCGCGAGCTGACCACCAAGCTGGGCCGCTGCGAGAGCCAGAGCACGCTGGACACGGGCGCCGGCGAGGCCCGGGCCGGCGGTGGCCGCAAGCAGCCCGGCTCGGGCAAGAACACCATGGGCGACCTGTCCCGGACGCCGGCCGCGGAGACGCTCAGCCAACTCGGGCAAACTTTGCAGTCGCTCAAAACCCGCCTGGAGAACCTCGAGGTCCGCGCGCGCGCCGCGGTCCCCCCTCCGGCTCCGGCGCCCCTCTGCCCTGCCCCACCCCCACTCCCGACCCTGCCCGACACCCCCACTCCCCCCTCGGCCGGGCGCTGGTGCCCGGCCGGGGCCCGCCGGGAGCCTGAGGGGCCCCGCAAACGGCCACTCGCCCGAGCTCCCCGCCAGACCGCCCCCGCATTCGCCCTGAGGGGACCGCGCCGCCGGCCTCCCGGCTCGGTCCCCGCGCCGCGCGCGTAACGGTGTGGTCTCCCTCCGCCCTTGCACCCCCGCAGCAGTACAGCCGGCTCAATTCCTCCAGCCAAACCAACAGCCTCAAGGACCTGCTGCAGAGCAAGATCGACGACCTGGAGAGGCAGGTGCTGTCTCGGGTGAACACTCTGGAGGAGGGCAAGGGCGGCCCCAGGAACGACACGGAGGAGAGGGTCAAGATCGAGAGCGCCCTGACCTCCCTGCACCAGCGGATCAGCGAGCTGGAGAAAGGTAACTGGCCGGGAGGAGTGTGGGTGGGGGCTGCTGGCTGCCCGGCTGGTAGGACCCTGCCTCAGGTCGGGGCTTCCTGCAGGGCTCGGCTCCAGGCTGTCAAAGCCTGAAGCTTCTCCACCCCTCCAGCCCTTCCCGCTTCCTGAGTCCCTGCCCTGGGTTTGGTTTGGGGTTTCCAGCCGGTGTTCCTGATGGGGCCGGGCCCCCTGGGCTGGGGACAAATGGAGGGAGGGGAGGCCGAGTGAGGAGGGCATCGATTGTGGTCGGCACCCCTCAACACACACACACAGGAAGGATTTTTCCAAGTCCCATCTTCAGTAAGTTTGCGCTGTGGCTGTGGTGTTCCCTGGTAAGAAAGACTGACTCTAGCTGGTCCCCAACCCCAGCAGGGAATGGGGTGCGGGCTGGGGATGGTTTGTTTTCTCCCACCTCCAGGGCACCACTGTTGTCCTCTGGGGATCTCCGGGTTCCCCCCTTTAGTTGAGCCCCTCCCCGTGGTCTTATTTTCTGAATGACTCGAGTGCTAGCATCCTACATGTCCTGTGGTTCCTGGGTCACCAACTGTGGCCAGCCCCACCTGCACTCTGGGGCTCACAGATGAGCTGGGCTCAGGCTTGAAGTCGCAGAAATCAAACAAGGTTGTAAAAGTGGGGGGGTTCCTAGGCTTGGAGCAGGGCCACGTGACCCCTCTTGGACCGCAAAATGTGCTGGATGGATTTAAACAGTGCCATCTTAAGGCACGTTATATAACTGAAAAACAGATCAGGGGAAGGGACGGGGGAGGGAGGGGGGAGGGAAGGAGGGGAGATTGGGGGGAATGAAAAACAGCCCCTAGAGAGGCCAGGGGCTGGATCTGCTCCAAGGGGTGTTTGGGGGGGCAGGAATACAAGCTGGAGATGGTTGGGGGGGCACTGAGGGGACCAGCCCTGCCATTCCCTGATAGCTGAATGGATTGGGGGGGGGTTGCTGGCCCAGCAGGACGCCTTCTAGAAATAATTCTTGGCCTGGGGGGCCTGTTTCCTTCTGGACTCCCTGGCAAGCCCCCAGCACACCCAGGAGCTGGCAGGTGTGTGTCTTCCTGGCTCTGGGCCCGGTGCCTGTGCCCACTGCTGGGTTGGAATGTTTTGCCTGGAGTCAGTCACACCAAACCCGGGGCCACAGCTACAGTGCGTGTGTGGGCTGGGAGGGGGCAGACAAGCATTCCCTGAGACATCCCTGGCAGGCAGGGAGCTGGTGCTGTTGGGTAAAGGGAGGCTTTTAGGCCAGGAGCCTGATTTTTCAGGAAACGCAGAGGAAGCTTTCCCTGAGAATGAGTGGCCCCGTCCTCAAAGCAGTCACCTTGGGGGGCCCTGGCTACAGGGCCGACTCCTCGCTCCCTGCTGCCCTGCCCTCATCGGCAGGGCTCCAAGCAGAGCTGCTGGACGAGGCTGAGGAAGCCGTCTTTCCCTCCTGTAGGGAAGATAGGGTTCTAGAAAGAGCCAGAGTCCTCTGGGCTCACTGACTGGTTCAGAAGAGCCAGCAGGGCCTGCAGCACACCCTGGCGTCGAGGGGAGTGAGCTGGGCACCAGGCGCCCACTTGTCTCGGGTGGGAATCCACGAGGAGACTTTGTGAACCATATCCAGGAACCAGGTCTGCCGAAGGGGCTGTGCTGGGGGCAGCCCCCTCTTTCAGGCTGGAGGAGCCTCCTCCCTCTGTGGCCACACCACCAAGGTCCAATAGCACCCCCCCCCCCACCATTGTGCAGGGACTCATTCCCTGCCCAAGCCCACGTGGTCTCTGTATCCCCATCCCAGCCTCCCCAGGGGCTGCATGTGAGCCTGAGCGGAGAGCAGGAGATCTTGGGTCAGCTTTTTTGCTCTGGCCCGTGCCCTCGGGCAGACAAAGCACTTGACCCTGCTGGGCCTCCCTCTCAGCAGCTAGAGAATGGAGATGAGTCTGCTCCTGGCTTCCCAGAGCGGGAGGGGGCGGGGGACGGCAGGAGTGCTGAACGGGTTTCCAACGGGAACAAAGGCTTTGAGGTACAGATGACAGGACTGTGTCCTGTTCTCTCCAGGTCAGAAGGACAACCGCCCCGGGGACAAGTTCCAGCTCACATTCCCGCTGCGGACCAACTACATGTACGCCAAGGTGAAGAAGAGCCTGCCGGAGATGTACGCCTTCACCGTGTGCATGTGGCTCAAGTCCAGCGCGGCCCCTGGGGTGGGCACGCCCTTCTCCTACGCCGTGCCGGGCCAGGCTAACGAGCTGGTCCTCATCGAGTGGGGCAACAATCCCATGGAGATCCTCATCAATGACAAGGTAGAGCCCCCCACCCCCAGCCGCCTGGTCTCGCAGGACAGCAGAGTGAGGTCCCCCAGGGCCCCGCCCCCAGCCCAGCTGCTGGGCCTGCTCTGCAGCCACAGATGCTTGTGGTGGGGGGGGGGGCTGGGGGCACCAGAAGGGCCAGTCAAGCAGGACTGGGGGAGGTGGAGGGGAGACGAGGAGGAGGGGCGCCCCTGCCCACACTCCATGAATAGTGCGAAGCTGGGACTTTCCCCGACCGGGGTGGAGGGTGTTGGGGGGAAGGTGCCCCGTCCCTCCCATTGAACCCCAGCTCCTCCTCCCCCAGCTCCGTGTAAGTGGAGGACCCCAGAGGCTCTCAGAGGTGAAGCTACCCCAGAGGTTCTCCCAGGGCCCAGATTGATCCTGCTCAACCCCTCAGCCCTGGGGGGAGGCCACATGCGGCTGAGCCCTTGGAGGGCGCAGCCTTTTCCCTCCGGGGAGGCTTCCAAGTCCCCGGTCTCTGGGGCAGCACGGGCAGGGACCATCTCCAGCCCTGGCCGGGAACTGGAATCCAAGCCCCGCTGTTGAGGCCTGGACCAGAAACGGTGGTTCTTTTCTGGGCCCCATGTCCCCACATCACAGGGTGTGCGGGTCCTTTTGTCTCCCGCACCATCCGACACCCCCCCCCCCCAATGCTAGAGACAGAGAGGAGTCCCAGGGCGGAGGCCTGGTGCGTGGCTCCTGGTGTCTGAGTCTCAGCAGAGGCTGTGCGGGTGTAGACCCGGCAGATCTGGCAATTTCGTGGTGGAGGAGAGCCGAGAGGCCCAGACCGCAGCAGTGAGCTGAGCCCCCGGCGGTGGGACTCCTCCTCCCAGGGCTGGTTGGGTAGACCGAGCAGAGAAGGGGGAGGGTGAGGAGGGGGAGGCCATTGTGCATTCAGGTCCATCCCAGGGTCCCCTTGACAAATCGTCCTGTTTCCCGTGTGACTCCGTGACCCGTCGGTGGATGGGGCTGGCGGACGATAAGGTCGCCGGGGCAGGTGCTGAGAAAATTCAGAGTCGCTTGGTTATTTATTTTAAACACGGTGATAGGAAGAGTCACGGTGGACACGGCGCATGGTGACGATCATTGATCTGCGCTTTGCCCCTGAACCTGTCACACCGTGTGTGTCCTCCTTCCTCCCAGGTGGCCAAGCTGCCCTTCGTGATCAATGACGGCCAGTGGCACCATATCTGCGTCACCTGGACCACCCGGGACGGGGTCTGGGAAGCCTACCAGGATGGCACCCAGGGCGGCAATGGCGAGAACCTAGCCCCCTACCACCCCATCAAGCCGCAGGGGGTCCTGGTACTGGGCCAGGAGCAGGTAGGGGCCTGGGGGCTGGGCCGGATGGGGATGCTGGTCGCAGGGGGAGCCCCAGAACCAGAGGAGGGACAGCCAGGGTGCCTGAACAGGGACGAGGGGGAGAAGGAGGGAGTGGGTCGGAGAGGGACATGGTTCCCCCCATTCCCAGAAAGAGCCGAGGGAAACAAGGTACGCAGTGGTTTGGGCCAAGTCCCTGCCTTGGGGGGGCTTCTCCAGCAGTACAAGCGGGGTGGGTCTTGTCTCAATGCTCTGGGGGCCGCCACACTTTCTTTGGCACGGAAAGGCCAGTCTGCCTTTAGCGATGCATAATTTATTTCCTGGAAGCGGTTTGTCTCCCCTTGGGCACTCGGAGGGATGCACCAGTGGGAGGGCCCCAGGCCTTCTGTTCCCATGGGGCTCGGCAGAGGTGACATCTGAGCTCGTCCAGGCAGGGAGAGCAGCAGCGGTTCTCCCAGGGCCCTGCTCCCATGGTGGCACATGGCGCGAGTGGACCCTCTCACTGGCCGAGGGACAGGCCACACGTCAGGCAGAGTCCAGGTGTCCCCGGGAGATGGTCTGCACCCAGGACAGACAGAGGTGGCCAGTAGTGGCCCTTTTCCTGGGCTCCCAGAGATAGGACATGACAGGGTACCTCGAGGTCAACGTGAGAGCCCCTGATGGGGGAGACACGGGCATGTGCCCCCTCGAGAGGCCCCCCCACCCTCACAGCCCTCCACACTCACCCTCTGCTTTTCTCCAAAGGACACCTTGGGCGGCGGGTTTGACGCCACCCAAGCGTTCGTGGGCGAGCTGGCACACTTCAACATCTGGGACCGCAAGCTGACCCCCGGGGAGGTGTACAGCCTGGCCACCTGCAGCCCCAAGGCCCTTTCTGGGAACGTCATCGCCTGGGCCGAGTCCCACATCGAGATCTACGGGGGAGCCACCAAGTGGACATTCGAAGCCTGTCGCCAGATCAACTGAGGCTCCTGCCCAGCGGAGCCTCCTGCCCTCGGGCCGGCCCGCCCGCCTACCCCCTGCTTGTGCGGTGATGACTCCCTCACGTCTTCTTCTCTCCCTCTCCCCAGGAGTGACTCAAGGCCCACGCACGCGCACGCACACAGCCCGGGTCGCCCTCGTGCCCGGGAGGCACCCCCAGGGTCTCAGCCCACCCTGTTCCCCAGCGGCTGCGGCACGGGGCCAGGCAGACGTAGGTGAGGATGTGCGTGTGCGGCAGGTGCGTGTCGGGGGGAGGCGCTTTCCTCCAGAAGGAGCTGCCTCCTTTCCTCCTTCCTCTGTGGTGTTGGGAAAGCTCGCGACAGGCTGAGCATCCGCACTTGGGACCCCGTGAGCTGCCCCCGGGCCTCGGGGCCTCCTCCACACGCACGTCTGTCTCGGCAGACCTCTTCCAGAGCCGCATCTCTACGGGAAAAAACGTCTCATAGCGGTTGGTTCGAGGCCGGGGGCTCTCCACAGAGAATTTCTCTTCCTGGTGGGAGCCAATTCTCTCTGACCCGGGCCTGGGATGGCAGCCCGTGCTCTCTGGCAGTGAGGCAGGGAGAGTCTGTGGAGGGTTGGGGGGTGGGGCTGGCCTCAGGAGGTGGGCGGACCCCGTCCAGTGCCCAGGCGGTGCCCCTGCGGGTGGCGTCTGGGGCAGCGCTGGGCCTGGGGAGCTGGTTTGCATGCCCAGCTCTCTGGTTCTGGCCCAGGACCGGGTCTCCGGCCCACAGTCACGCACCCTCTCGAGGGAGCCATCCCTCGCTTTCGGCTGTCTGCTCGTGCCCCTGGGAAGGCGGTGGAAGCCAACCTTCCCTGGCCCCTCTCCTTTGGCCTCTGGCAGTGGGAGCCCAGAGGCGTCCATGGGTCAGCTCGACAGGGGACCTTTGAGACAAGGAAACCCACATTCTGATTGAGACCCAGCCAGTTAGGGCCGATGACACTGGAACCGGACCCGTCAATGAGAAGGTCCAAGCTAATTTTGACAGCCATATTCCTCCCCCGCTCCCAGGCCCGGGTCCGTGGGCGCCGTGAGTCCTCCACGGGGTCGGGCCCTCTGGAGGCCTCCCACACAGGGCCCGGCAGCCAGCGCTGGGGCCTGAAGCCCACTCCCCCTGCTTCACAGGGCTCCGGTCCTGCAGCAGCCCCCAGCCTGTCAGCAGCTGGTGGCACTGAGACGCGACCGGTGTCTAGAACCTTGGACTTTATTTTCCCCCATGGAAAGCACCCACACGCATTTCCTTCTAGTCCTTCTAAGGCAGGGGGAAATGCGTGTGTGCGCGCGTGCGTGTGCGTCTGTGTATGTGTGTGTGTGTGCGCACGCGCGTGCGCATTGAGAGAGAGAGAGAAGAAGAGCACTAAGACGGGCCGCGCCCTGGGCGGGCTCCTTGCTCCGTCGTCCCACCTGGGGGTCGCACACCTTGAGGGCACCCCGGACTCTGTCACTGGGAGTCTAATTAGCAGAACGCTGGCGAGTCTTTCTAGAAATTCTCCCGCACTGTCTGGCTCGTGTGCAGCTACAGACATTCCTTTGGGAGGAGCAGGTGTTCCCCGTCCTCGGCTCCTTCCAGGGGCACCTGTCTCCTCACGCACAGGTCCCTGTTGCGTCGGAAACCTCGTGCATCTGTGTGCGTCTGTGTTGGTGTCTCCGTGCTCGTGTCCGCGTGGGTGTGTGCGTGGCACCCGGTCGCCAAGCTGTGGCGCGCACTCCTGCTCAGCGGGTGCAGTCCGGTGCCGCGCTGCGTGCTGTGGCTCAACAGTGGCTTTTTCTGAGACCCTTGTGCTTCGTCCGAGCCCGTCGGGTTGTGGCATCTTTGGATCTGCAGGGATCTTCTCTGTTTGCATGTTCCCCAGGGTGGCACGTCCCTGGCTCCCTCGGTCTGATGTGCGTCCCCTGCCTGCATGAACTTCTGGTTCCGTGTCGTGTGCCCAGTGCCACCCATCGTCCTGTGACCATCCGCGTAGCTACTGAGAAATCTCTGGAGAAGCAAGCCAAGGGTGTCGGGGGAGGTCATGGGAGGGACCCGTATCCCTCTCCCTCCTCCCCACTCCCCAAACACACCAACAAGTATTTTTCATGTGTAGGTTGACAAGGAGCCTAAACAAAGCCCATGACTGGGACAGAGCAAGAGCTTGGAATCACCCCTCTAGACCAGGTCGGCCCTACCCCTCACTTGGCCCCCCTCTCAGCTGCTGCTTAGGCGAGGCTCAGAGGGGGCTGGGTGCTGTCCTGCCAGCACCCCCCACCAGCCCCTGCCGATCGCGGACCCCAGACCACCCTCCGCCCTCGTGGCCAGGGTGGGAGCTGTCCATCAGGACCACAAGCCATCCTCTGCCCTAGCTAGAGACGGGCAGAGCACACCCCAGACGCTATGCCTACTGTCCCTTTGGCCTCCGGCCCGTTCACCTTCCTGGCCCTCCCTTGACGCCCCCGCGGTGCCAGGGACAGAAGCTGACATTCGGCTCCCTCCCCGCCTCTAGCTGGAGCCTGTGCCAAGCCCCTTGACTCCCTCACTGTGTTAACATTTGGCACTTTGCCGGCCCCAAGAAAGGTCGATGACACAGCCACAAATCTAATCCACGTAGTCTCCCATCTCCTCCTTAATCTGATCGACACTCCCTCTTGCACTGAATAACACATGCCTATCTCAGGTAAGAAGTTTTATAAACTAAGAAGACACACAGCACTGCCGAGGCGGTGTTAGCTCTTGCCGAGCTGGTGTCCCACAGCTCCCTGGGGGTCCGAGGTGGGGGAGCTGCCGACAGAGGCTCTCCGGGCTCTCGGAGCTTAGATCCCACTGGAATCGTAAGCCTTCTTGCTTTTGATAACACAGTATTATTTCTCTTACTGTAGAAGAAAAAGTTTATTACCAAACAAGAGTATTTTTATGAAAGAAAAGGACAAACCTATAAAATTAACTCACCTTATATCTCCCTGGAAAATACTTTCAGGCTCCTCCAAAACATAGGACTGAAAGCATGTATTTTGGAAGAAAGAGATACATTTTGTATGCTTTCTTTTCCTTTTGTAGATTCCCTGTTTATTTTCTAAGAGTGCAAAGATCACTTTGTCACCAGCCCTGGGACCTGAGACCAAGGGGGTGTCTTGTGGGCAGTGAAGAGGGGGGAGAGGCTGGCGTGAGGTTCAGTCATTCTAATGAGCTCCAAAGAGGGGCCACCTGCACTCAGAGGTGTTGGGGACCAGGATGCAAATTGGCCATTTATGGTAGACCCTTTGCCTCGGAGCTGGCTTAAGTCGAGGACTTGATCAGTTCCAATCCTGGTAGGAAAAACTAGGGTTACGTGTTGTTAACACGAAGAAGAGAGTTTTCTTTAGAATTTCATGGCAACCAGAACGTGGCTCGACACAGCCGTGGTTTCATCTCTTCAAACACAGTGTGTAAATTTATTCAGCTAATGACAGGAAATGTGTCACTTTCATGCACCGTGGACTTAAGTGCAATTTGTTGAAGGGGAACAAATCATTGAGGAGGAAAAAAAAAAAAAAAGCCCAATACTTAGAGTCCCAATTTTGTCTTATTTGCCAAAAAAAAAAAAAAAAAAAAAAAAAAATCCAACAAAGCAAACCCCCTCTGGTTGATATTGTTACAATGTATATACTGTATAATATGAGAAAATCGATGTATCTTACTTTTTCATTATTTGCTAACCAAAGCTGTACATTTTTCATATGATCTGCAGCCTTTTGGGTATCAAATGGGTCAAAACCATGGGACCTGCCACCTCCCATCAGCAATTCTGGAAATGCACTATTTCTACTGGTATTGCTTTTTTTTTCATTTTCTTGCTGAAACGACATGAATTGTTGAGTTTATTTTTACACAGTAAAGAGTGAAGAAAGACGGTGGTCTGCACGGAGTGTCTCTTTTCTCAAGCTTGCCAGTGTCCCCCCGACCTGCCTCGGGGAGGGGCACCCAGGAACCCCCACCTGCTGGGCCGTGCAAGCCTCGTGTTTGTGTGGCACTGCGCCCTCGGGGGTTCCATAGCCTTTACTGACACTGGGACGCGGCAGGCGGGGGCTCCCCTGTTCACAGGTGCAGCTGACATGGAGGCAGAAGGAGGGCAAGGGACCCCCAGCTGGGTGAAGCCAGCTTGGGGTGCAGAGTAACCCCCTCTTCCTCGCCTCCCCTGCAGTCCTGCTCCCTCCTGGGCGAATGGACCATCCCACTGCCGACTGGGTCGCGGCCAATAGTTGGTTGCCTCCCCTCTTCTGGAGTTCCCAGGCCCCTTCCCTGCACTCAGGGACAAATATCCCCAGGTCCACATAACCAGGGAAGGGGGTGCCTTGGGAACCCTGACTGCTGGCCAGAGCTTCCCTGCCACTCGCAAGCCAAGCTAGGCTCTGGACAGGCCTAGAGCTTGGGAGCAGCTCCAAAGTGACCAAGAACCAAAACAGCCCACCTGGCTGGTGGGTCTCCCCACACCCCAAAACACACACACGCACCCCCGCTGGCTCCACAGACAGGACGAGCCCCTCTAGCTGCTCGCTGGCACGGACGCGTGGACTGCAGACGGGCCTACGCCTTTGGCCTTGCCCACAGACTTCCTTCCCCTGCAGTGGCGCGCTCCGTCCGGGACTTGGGACCTGGGGTTTGCTGGGGTGTGAGCGACCCGCCTGTTCCCAGTGAGGTTCGGAGGGAGGAGTTGAGGCCTCTGCAGGGCTGTTCTCCCTGTCGGCCCTGCGGGAGGAGCCTGTGTCCTCCAGAGCAGCCTTCGTGGGGGCGGTGTCCTCCTGCAGACCTCACACACGGCCCTCGTGGCCAGGCCCGGGGTGTCCCCAGTCCCTGCAGCCCCAGTGGACACGCCACCTCTTTGCCTCTCGCTCAGGGAAGCACGTGGTTATGCCCGTGATAACATCTTCAGTTTCTCATTTCCGTGAAGAGCTCATTCAAAAACTCGGGTGTTTTAACCATCATTAGAAACACATTTCTTTCGGCGCCTCTCACACCTGATCCTGGCACATCAGTGAACGACTTTAGGGGCCTTGGACTGAGCACAGCCGCTCAGGAGGGGGCTGCCAGGCCCGGCCGGGAGCTGGTTCCCGCAGGCATCTGAGTGGAGGGACACAGGCTTAGGACTGCAAAGCTAGAGAGTATCTTGGAAGTCAGTGATTCCTGCAGCCTGTCAGAGGCCGGAAGCTATTGTCAGCTTGCACACTTCTGGTGACGGGGACCTCACTGCCCCGCGGAGATGGTCTG